TTCTCAGGCTATGGAGGCATGTAGGGACCTGCTTCATCCCCAGATGCAACCTCAAGACGGTGCCTGCTGTCACTCATGGACCCTCTCGCTATATAAGTCCTTGCTGAGCCCTAGGAAGACGTGAACAGTACTAAAGTCAAACATTTTGGCCATACCTCTGACCCTTGTACCCCAGCCCCTTCTTTTGTTGCCTAAGCAAGGAAGATGGCTGGTTCAGGGCCTTTACACAGCTGCCCAGGAGATATACTCAGAGAGAGATTTCTGCCCCATTTAGGTCGCATCACCCTAAAAAACCCTGACAATTGGGTACAATCGGTGCTTAGATAAGAAGGTGATGAGCATCGTGGGGAGACTGTGGCGAGAGCAGAAAGGGCAGGATCCTGGGATCCGGTGTGTGCTATATCCCGCGTATCCAGACCAGCAAAGTCAGGGAGTTACTCCAGACGTACACAGGCATAACCAAGCTGCGAATCCAGCCTCGGGCCTTAAATATACCTCCTTAACACTGCCGGACCAACTCTTTAGAATCACTTAAACCAAGCGAAAAACCTCCATCTCTCTAGCCTGAGGAAAAGTTATTCAAGGCGAGTTCTCCAAAACCACATAACATAAATGTTTAAAAAGTAATTTATAGGCCAGACATTAGGACTAAGGAACGAGATCAGAAATGACATTTCAGCAAGGGGGGCTCCTCGGGCTATGCAGGAGGAAAGGAAAAGGGCAGGGTTTGATGCATTTTCCCACCGAATGAGCAAAGCATCCTAGTTGAAAAGGTTGTTTAATCTTCCTAAATTTTCAGTGTCTGCTTTATAATCTGACCTTTTTTTTTGATTTTTTTCCTTGCCTCAGAACTCTCTCTCTTTCTTTCCCCTGCTCAAGCAGTGGGCACCGATTCTCCGCTCCATTAGCTCTAGCTTTTCTCTGCACAGATTGCTCTGGTGTGAGGCTGAAGAGAAGCTTTGGGCTGGACGTAGGCATGCCTGCACCCAGAGAGGGTGAGACAACCCTCCTGGCACACATCATAGCTAGGGGCAGGCAAAAAGGGTGTCCTGGAGTACCTGCTAGGAGACTTGTATCTGTATGCATATCCAGTATATCCCCCCATTCCCCCGCCAGCACCAAATTATGGTGGGCCGGACCCGACAGAGAGGTGAATCAGTTCCCGTGTTTGACTTTGCGTATTCTTTGCATGACTGGCAGATTTTTTTTTTAATTTCACCCTCTCTCCCCATCCATCGGTTCAGCTTCCCACGTCTATGATCCCTGTCTTCCACCCTTTGTTCTGAGACTATTATTATTTTCCTCCATCGTTACCTCGACGGTAAGATTTTCCTCTCTTCCTTCTGCCAAAGCTTTTCATCCCCTTATCCACCATTGCTGTTATGGACTTTGGTGCGCCGTGATTTACTGATATCCTCCAATCTAGCCCTCTTGGAGGGGTCAAAGATGTGACTGTCAGGCATGGGGAGGTGAGGATGTAGTCTAATGAGTGTCCTTTGTGATCAGAGCATTACTGCTGTGTGCATTTCAGGGATCCATAAAGGCAGCAATTGCTGTGGGGGTCATACAAATGTGTTACTAAAAGACAGTCTCTGCCCGGAGGCACCCACAGGCTAGCACAGAGAAGGAGAGGGACAGGTAGGGTCACTCAGACATGGAGATCAAGTGATTTACCTAGGTCATGCAGGGCAGACCTGGAAATAAATCTGGTCTCCTGAAGCCCAGGCCAATCCCCTAAGCCCAGGACCAGCCTTCTTCACTAATGAGATTCATTTTTAGTAGCAGTTTGGGACAAAAACATGAAAGGCAGTAGCACTTAACCATCAGCTGTTGATGTGGGGAAGCATTTGCCAGCACCACCAGGGCTCATGCAATCTTGCCCTGAGCCATTAGCAGGCACATGCATTGCCATACAGACATGCCTTGGACAGCATCGGTATTAATGAGACGTTTGATCTCTCTGGGTTCCTGTGATAGAAAGTGCCCTTTATGTCCTTTTCTGCTGGTATCAACTGGCTCTGCCAGCATTGACAGGTCAGATCCTCGCCTGGCGTGAATGGCATGTCTCTGTTGGCATTAATAGCATTAGGGTGACGTACTCAAGCTGAAGAGCTAGCCCATTGGCTTCCAAGGAGCAACTCCAGATTTACACCAATCTAATAAGAGAATCGGCAGGGCTGAGAGAAGCAAGGATAATGCTGAAGCCTGGCACTCGGGGGCTCTGACGTGGTGGGACCCCATCTATACCAGAGTGATCATCGGAGTCCCCACTGATGACAGTGAGTCTCTCCCTCCCTCCCCTGCTGGAAGGTGAAGTTCTTGGGCCAATTTGGACCTCGGTGGCTCGGGTGTAAAATTTGGAGCCATTGCTTTTGTCTTCAGGGAAACAATGCCAGGTTTCCAGCAGCAGCGTTCAGCTCAGAATCCCTAATAACAAACAGACTTTGCTCTAAGAGGCTTGCAGAATATTTTATCTAGTCAAGGATTACACAGGCTTTGGGGCTGTATAATGTGCAAGTATCGCTGCACCTAGGAATTACCATGGCAGCTCCGGGCCCAGGATCTGATTAGCCTACACAAGGGGGAAGGATCAGGGGAGTGGCTGCCGAGCTCTGGGATGAATGTTAAGACTTTTGATGGCGGCTTAGGTGATCTGAGCAGAAATCCTGGCTCTGCTACACATGCCCTGGGTGACCTTGGACAAGTCAATTAGCATCATGTCCCTGCCTAGAAAACAAGCTAACGATACTGCATTTTTCAGCTTTGTCCACATAGATCTTAAGCTGTTCAGGGCTGGGGATTGTCCTTTGCTATGAGTATATACAGTGCCTATTGCAATGGGGCCCTGAAATCAAGCTCTAGATAGTGTATGTAGGGTATAGTGTATATAGGGTATGTAAAATGTGTATAAAATATATATGGTGTAATGCAGACATACATTTAGATATGTATGTTTTACACTACATATATTTTACACACACTTTATATAAACATACTATACACACACACGTTGTGGAGGGTAGAGGTAATGTTTCTCATATAATGAAGCCTCTTTCCTCCCTTTTCTATAACTGACTGCTAGTGTTATTAAGGGTTGTCCTTCCTCCCTGCAAATCCAGCTAGAGTGTTTTGTCTTGCTAGCTCCTGGGGTCAGACCATGGCGTGTACTGATGCCATGTTACATAAAGAGAGATAATCCCGCTCTTTGTTCTAGTCCCAGGATACCCCTGACTCTAGGGGAGATGCAAGCCTGTCGAGCCGCCTCTCTGTCTCTATTTCTGTCAACAAGCTTGATGCAAAGGAAAGTAGGGAATGAATAGCATTGTCCTTGAATATACTGTAGGAAACAATCTTGACCTGGCAGAGGGACAGGCTGGATGATCTCATAGGACTTTTCCATCTCCAGCTCCTGAGTCAAGTGCATTGCAGAGGGAGATTAGGTATCAGTTCCCACCACCAGAGACATTCAGCAGGGGGATTATAGCGGGCAGGGCACCAGATAAGGAACCAGGAGACTTAGGGTCTTATTTTTTCCTCTGCTACTGTCTGGCTGTGAGACCCTGGACATATTTCCCTGCCTAGTGGCCATCTTCCTACCTGTGATCAACCTTGCCTTGAGAGGGCTTTGAGATGCACAGAGGACAATACAAGAGGGAGGCTGAGAAGCGGTTCCTCTTCAGCTTGCTCACAATACCCCTGCCACCCTGCTTTCCAGCCCTGTGCTATATTTCAGCTGAAACAAGCAGCTCTCATCTCTCAGACTGGGCAAGGATAATGCAAAAACCTGGTCAGCGTTGCACCAAAGCACCCGCACCCTCTGTCTCGGGAGCTGACTAGCCAAGATCTATCCCCGCAGGGCTGGTCAACATTGAAACCTGCTAACACTGAGAGATAATAGAGTCACGGTCAGCCTTGCAAGGACCAAGGCTGATCCACAGGGAACAGAGAGCTTTGTGAAAGGGAAGGCGGGTGAGAGGTGAGAAGCAATGGCTCAGGGACGTATGTGATGCTGAACACGCATGAGATGAGAAGCAACAGTTCTTCTCCTGGAGTGTGGCTTGGATAACCCGGTGAGGCCCTCCCTTGCTGGCTTTCTGGAGAAAGCCGTGAAAATAAATGCATGGATACCAGTCCAGAGCCAGCGTCACACAGTTCCTCCTTTTTGGCCTTCCTGCATCCATCAAAGACACAATTTTGTTTTCCTGAGCATCTGGGGATGTTTTCTTTCTCTCCCCTGCTTTCCGTCTCTTGTTGCCTGATTGCCTCAGCTGTCAGCTGTACATAATGGGCAGCAGCCAAAAATTTCCAAGAAGGTCAGATGACTCCCTCTGTATGTCAGCTCAGGTCCCCCCCAGCTCCACCCCAGCCCCACATACTGAGGCTGGGCATTCGAACCAGCCTTGCAGTGTAGCGAGAAAGCTCAGCTGAGCAACACCTCTACTGCTGGGATACTCGCAGAAACCCACTGGTTCCAGGGTCAGGCCCCCAGTGACGACACCTGAGCTCAGGGGTGAGTATACTTGTCCTGAGCTATGCACCTTGCACACCTTGCACACAGGGCTTGCAAACAGAGGCAGGATGTTATCAGTAGTGCTTTGAGCTTGAGCGTGCCTTGCTTCCATGGATGAGAAAGGGGCAAAGGGAGACAAAAGGGGCTGAATCTGGGGTGACTCTTGGAAACCAAACTTCTAACGGGGCACGTTAGGCGGTGCAAAAGGGAGGTGGACCTTCTTCTGTTGCTCTTTCTGGAATTTCTCTAGAAATCCTGTGGCTAACGGAAGAGCTTCTGCATTGACCACTGCTGGCTGCCTTAACTGTCTGTCTGAATTTCATGATAAAATTATGCTTGGGCTGACTAACTCGTAGCAGTGGCTTATGGGTTTTGCTGGCTGGGAATTAACCCTGCAAAACCAGGTTCTGTTTGGATCCAGGTCCCAATTTATCCAGACCTCATGATGCTTGTTTGGCAGAAATGCTTGGATAATTACAAGGCTGGGTCTGCCAATTGGTATTGGTAAAGCTGGTGAAGTACTTGAATGAGTGGCAGGGGCTATTGAGTTGGGCCTGAGCAGATCACTGGGGGTTTAAAAACGAGCTTTTTTTCTGAGACTATTGCAGATCAAGGCCCTGCTTTGCTGCTATGTAGTCCGTGATTTGTATGTTTTGGGCAGGAGGTTGTAGCTGACCCGTTTGGGAACAGGAGCATTGGGAGCCTTGCCAGAGTCAGAGTAGCAGAGTGACTCTGGATTCACACCAGTGGTGCTGAAATCCATGCCTGCTCTGATCTGCGTAAGTACGGCACTTCCAGAAGGTGCTAGAAAAAGCATAGCAGGACCTTTCCAGCTGGACTCAGCTCCACAAAGATGTGTCTCACTTGCTGGTTCCCCCCAGCTCAACCATGGGGGGGGATCAGCTTTGCAGAGCAGGCCCCATTGAGCAGGTTGAGCGGCTGTTGTCCCCAGACGGCGATTGCAATGTGCTGCATTGGATCCATGCTAAAAGGGAGTGAAAGAGTTAAAAGATCCGGGGCATCTCCGTGAAGCCGGGGCAGCTTGGCAAGGGTGCCAGGAGGGCAGAGCATTTATAATCACAGCCAAAGGGACACTGATGCAGGCCTAAATGTCTGTCTCGCTAACCAGGCTGCAAGGACTGGCAAGGAATTACTAAGGTGCACAAAGGCTTGCCCAGCTACGTACACATTATCCCAGACATGCAGGCAATCGCAGGCTGAGGGAATAGGGTTTTTAGCAGTCTATCAATCCAAGCTAATGCGATTCCCACCCTTCCTCCCTAGATCCTGCTGCTTTGCAAGGCAGCAGAATAAATCCTTCTGTGCAGCAAACTGTATCTTTGCATCTTATTCGTGAGGGACGTTGGGACCAGCCATAAACTTTATGAACATCATATTCTTTCAGGAAAGGAAATACAAGATAAAAGGGCTCAGGGTTTCTGCACATAAGGATTTATGGGAGAGTGGTTAGAGCTGGGTTTCTTGCAGGCATTGGGGCTTTTCACTCCCGGCATGCTGCCGCCAGACAGTTATCCCTTCCCCTTTTGGCTGCAGTGGAGGGAAGAGCAGAAAAGGCCGATTTAAAAATTCATTGAGAACGAGTGCTTCCTCTGCTTGACTGCACATAAAATGGCTGTGAGAAAAGGCACTCGGGCCCTGGTCCCCAGCCAAACTGAAGTCAGCAGAAGAGCTTTGCGGGGCTGCCGATCTAGCCCCAGGAGCAGGCCCCACCTGAGGAAGCAGGGGCGTGACAAAAAACCTGCACCAAACAGAAGTGCACTTTGATTAATAGATCTGAAAGAAGGAGCAAAGCCCCGCTGAATAATTGGCCCTTGGGGGCTCGAGGTTGCCATTGCCCACCCCAGCCCCTGCGCTGGGGAACAAGCTTCCCTTGTCTCTCGGGTGGGGCACATTTTTGGTCTACAAGGACATCTGGGGAAAGGGCAGCCTGTCCCCTCTGTGCTAAAGAGAGCAGAGTAAACCCGAGCCGTAGTGTTTGTGGAAGACTTAGGTGTGCTCTGAGGCACCGGGCCAAAGAGGGAAGGGAAACAGCGCGGTAATCCGGGTTTGTTTAAAAGAACCACAGGTCGGTGCATCTCTGTAGCTCATTGCTCCATAAGCCCTATTCACGGCTGGTGTAAACCGGCAGCATTTTCCATTACCCTTTTGCATCTGCTGAGCACCTGGCCTGAACTTCATATCTACGGGCAGATCAATAGCGATGTCTGTCCAGGTAGCTTCAAATGAATAGGTCTCTTTTATTTTCCTTTCCGTTCTATTTAAACACAAACAGCTCCCTCAAGTGTATAAAACCCAGACTGCGCAGCACAGGGTACCTACGAAAGGGAAGCCGCCTGCCTTGGTTTTGGGGTCGGAGCTGAATTCAAATGAATTAACAAACGGACTAAAAGAAAGGCAGCGAACTCAGGGCTTAAAACCATGGTTTTCCCTTTAAGGCTGGGCTTTCCAAACTGCGGTATGCAGGGGGTGTCTCGAAGGCATGCAAGGGGACAGAATGGGAAAGGCAAGGAGAAATGCAGAGCAGCTACAATATTTTTTCAGGTACAGGAGAAATTGCAGTGACCCAGAAAATGTTACTTGTTACAGCAGCATAACGGGCTTCTTTAAAAGCGGGGCGCATGGCTCCAAGTATGTTGGGAGCCGCCAATCTGAACTATTGCTGTCAACCGGCTAAAATTAACATTTTGGTAGTACTGCAGGGGAAGATGCTGTCTATCTGTCTCCTTCCCTCCCTCTTTCTTTTTATCCCCATTGTGTAAAATCAGAGCGCTGAAAATGTTGCCTTGGAAGGGACTGAGTAGATACCCATTGAGGATTTAAGGATTTGTCCTACATGATTTAGTTTTAATCATGCTTATTCTAGGGTCACACGTCAATAATGTAAACTGTTTTCACTTGTACTCAGAGTGCTGTCAGGCATGGATGAGTCGAAACGCAGCAGTTAAGCACAGGTGCCCGTCGCTGCCCTCTGCCGTCCAAAACCAACACCTTTTCTACCTTCCGGGCAACTCTTGTGAGAGCAGTCATAGACCCACATGCATTCAAGTCGACAATAATTAGTATTTTTAACACTTCCAAACCTTTCCTCCTTCTGCTGGTTTTGTGTGGGACGGGTGCCTCTAAATGCAGAGCAGCAAAACACTTGTGCGCTTGTGCTAGCTAGTTGGCAATCACAGAGCCTTTCGCAGGCTCTGCTCAAGTCAGCAAAGATTGGAGATTGTCTGGAAAAGAAAATGTTCATGCTATTTTGCAAAACCAGGGGTGCAAAGTCACAAAGCCCGTTGGTTTTCAGACAAGCCAAAGCACAAACATTTTGCAATTTTGGTCAAAAAATGGCGGAGTAGTTTTTTGTCACTGTGTTTTCACACTATCTGTAATTTCCACCTGTCGAGTTATTTTATTTTTTACATGCATTGTTTTTCTCTTGGGGGGGGGGAGTGAATAACAGCCCCTTAAAGTCTCCCTAAAGCAAGCAGTATGAAAAGTGCTATTTGATTTTAATTGATGGTGTTTTTAGTGACCCAAATATCTGTTGGCGCTCGAGACAACTCAAGCAAAGGGAAGGATTTATTTCAAGGGTTTTGTGCTTGAGAGGAGCAAAGAGAAGGTGGGAGCGACTCCGCGAGCACTCCTGGTAACACTGATATGGTCAGAATGACTGAGCTGCTTGAGAAAGCAGGGGAATTAAAAGAGCCCACTCCACTTCCTACGGCTATTGTTCTTAGTTTGGCTTAAGTGTAAACAGTAAGTCTTACCCCCCCCCGCGTTTCCTGACGCACACGGGGATGTGCTGGTCGCTATTAGTACAGGCATGTTATTTTTGTAACGGTTCCCCAGCCCTGGCATGTCCCCATGGCGGTAAGTACTGCATCAAGATTGAATTTTGTTCTCGGGGCCCCAAGAAGGGTTGTGATAACTCTGATGGCAAACAAATGCAGGAGAGAAACTTTGAAGAGCCAAATAATTTACTACAATGGATGCAAGTCAAGCAAGACCATTGAAGAGCTCATTGCCATTTGGAGAGGTGACATATGGAGACATTAATTCTTCCTCGCCTGGAAAATGTTCCTATTCATGGGTCAGCGTTGCTCCGTTGGTGCCAGCGCAGCCCAGTCAATGCTGTTTTGCTGTGCATGGTGATAAGAGCAGGAAAAGGGACACATTTTTAGTTAAGAAACCTTTGGTATTTTCTTTTTCTGGTGGATGGGGGAAGCTTTTTTTCTCCCTCCAGGTTGGATTTGTTCTTCCACCTTCTCATCTCCTGCCCCTGTAGCAATGCCTGTAAATTCACTCAATCCAGTTCATCTGGTCCTCAGACACCTGAGTTCAAGTGCCCTCTCAGTCAGTGATTTAATTATCCCTGAAAGAACAGAAGGAAAGTATTAAAAGCACTTGAGCTTTGACTTCTCTGTTTTTTCAAGCCAGGGAGCCTGGGAGATGTGGAGCCCATTGACTAATGCTCTTGTATTACGATGATGCTGATAATGAATAACACTGAGAGAAAATCGGTGCGTGTCATCCTTACTTCCAGTGCGATGCCAGACTTCAGAGAGGAAGGATGGCTCGGTCATGAGAGCGCCGGGGATGTGAGAGACCTCGTTTAAATCTCTGCTCTGCCAGAGACTTTCTGTGCGAACTCGGGCACGTCTGCTGCACCCACCGACTGGGCCGTGCCGTGCCGTGCCTCTCTGCACGTGCTACCTCCCCAGCTGAATGCGGCCTCGCTGCTGCCGCGTGCCATCGGTTAACCTGTCCCAGCGCCATGGGAGCGCAGCTACATTGCTTTCAGGGGGGGAAGGAGTGTGCGAGCGTGGCGTGTGTAAGCAGGTTGCTACCTGCTACATCTGACGTGGTGAGTCAGAGGTGTAGCTCTGCCCTTGGTGTCTCCATTTGCCTTCTGCAAAATGGGGAGAATGGCATGCTTTCCCCGCCCCCAGCGTGAGGATGGGGAGAATAGAAGTGTTGCGCTTCATGAAGCACTTGGATAGGAGGCTGTATAAGTCCTTCCTATCAATCAAATCCTTTAAACACACTGACGAAGGCCTTGCTGCTTGAGCTCAGTAGGACTTTAGGTGCACTAAGACGCTGCTCACTATGGAGAAGGGTCTCGCAGTGGAGAGGAAAGGCAGGAGAACACAAGGCCATTTTCTTAGTCCTGTTCAGTGCCTTCATATGGCCTATAGGCTCGAGTGCTGGACCGCTGTCACCCTTGTTTACTCTCCAGGTATCCTGTTTCACTCCTGAATTCCTGGGCTCCAGGGTGGTTGCCCAGAATAACTCTCCTTCTGCATTTCCCAGTATTCATTCTCCGGAGGGGGGAGGCTGTGAACAAGCTGCTCCTCCATGCAGATGGGCTTTGCAGGGCCAAATTCATACCTGGTGTAACTCCATCCTGATGTCTACCCAGGCCTTGACTTACTCCTGCAAGGGGCTCTCCCTGCCTGAGTGGAAGCAGCCCCTTCCAGGGGCGAACCTCTGGCAGGGGAAGTCTTCTCCTCCTGTTAAGCTGCCTTGCAGCAGATCCTGAAGTGACTGTGCCACTTCACTGGATATTGGAGAGGGATCTCTGAGTGCTTTAAGCCCCTCACATCTGTCCAAGGAGACCTTGATCATGGGAGATGGGGAACCATATTGGCAATACACAAAGGAAGTGAGCAAAGATGCTGCTGTCAGGCCAAGGCATTGCTAATTAAACCAGATGTGGGTAGGAGGAAGCTTATATCTAACTACCAGGCTTCTTGCCTCTCATGTTATTCACCAGCATATCGCTGGATTGATTTGATTTTTAAATAGCTTCCATTGCATGCCCTGAAATATGGTGTCCTTATGAGGATGCAGAGGGAGTCTTCAGCATGAAGAGAGAGCGACCCGCCATAAACCAGCACATTATCTAACTACTTTTGGGCTTGCCCCAGCCTACGACTGCCATTAATTGGGTTCGGTGAGCCTGGCACGTATGAAGTGGAATTCCCCCCTGGAGAGGGGATCAGTATGAGGCCTTGACCCTTCTCTTCAGGGCTCATATAGGACCTGAGGTGCCCTCGGGGTGACTTTTAGGCTTTGGGGCAGGGCTCATGGCATCCTCTGCATGTGTTCTCCCACCACCCTCGGGGCTGCTGTTCTTGCCTATCTGGAACAGGAACAGACCCTATCGGATACAAACCCCAACCAATACAGGATGGGGTTTTTTTGCATACATGTGTGTTGTATCTAACTGCTCAGTCTAAAGCCAAATCCTGTTTCTATTGAAATCTATGGCAAATCTCCCAGAATCAGCCCTTTGGAGACATGACTGTGGTAGCTATGGATTTTTTTTAGGTTTTACTGACACACAGAGCGTGTCTTGCTAGGTGAAGTGTGGAAAGCTGGGGGTCCGGAGGGGCTGTGGTTTGGAGTGGAAGTTGTTTATGAGCTTAGCAGAAAAGATTGTTAGGTTCAATATCAATGCAGATCGTCAAACGTCCTATCTCAGGCTCCTTTAGGAAGGTGGAAGGATCCTAATGCCCACATGGTAACCAGTGAGGAATGTCCTCATCTGAAGTTTCCTTAAGGAAAGGGAAGGGGGTGGAGATGGACTCTACTGTCACGGGGAGGGAAGGTCTGGGAAGTGGGGCGCTGCCAGAGAACAGAGGCCTTCACTGATAACCTCGCTGGCAGGGAACGCCTTGGACCCCCTTGAGGAAAGACTGAAAACTTTATCAACAGCTTCGTGTTTGGCAGGTTGAAGTTACCTTCACCTGGGGGCTTCAGGCCAGGAAAGGAGCATCATATCAGTAACTTGATGTTAGCTGGCAGAAGGAATGCCCTGATCTAGCTGGTCTTAGACAGTCGCATTAACCTGATACTCTCCTGGATTTTCCTTCTCTACTGCTTTTGGCCCTATCCAGATCTAAATCGGGCCTCGTTTGGAATCTGCGCCTCAAGCCTTGGCTCGCAGCCAGGACTTGTGCATGTATGGATCTCGCCCTACAAGCGTGCAACCTACACGTGCCTTCAAGGTATAACTCTCCCTGCTCGTGCAAGCTTCTCACGGGCTGTGGGATGAGGGTTGGAGGAGCTTTAGTGTGCATCGCACGGCCACTGGAGAGCGGCCTGGCCTTGTTTGAACTGCAGCGAATGACCGGAAGGTGTGCTTGAAGTGATTTGCCCTTGTTTCCTCACCTTCTGTATTTACCCTTCGTTTTGCAGTGATGTCCTCAATGGCAAGCCGAGAAGTCAGAAGACATCTGCACTAAGAGCAGCCACAATCTGGGTTCAGCGTCCATCCACACACGTCTGGCATTCTTCAACCCACCTTTGGATCTCTGCCCGCTTTAAGCAAGAGGGTGTTTCCTTTATAGACAGCCTTGTAGCTTTTCTCCAAGTTGGACTTGGACCGCAAGCCTCTGAGCCTCATGGTGGGGCCTGTGGCCAACCCAGAGCCTGGGGACACCAGGAAGGTGGTGCTGCTGGAGCCGTTCGTCCACCAGGTCGGGGGCCACATGAGCATGATGAAATACGATGAGCACACAGTCTGCAAGCCCCTCATCTCCCAGGAGCAGTGGTTCTACGAGTCGCTGCCCACCGCCATGAAGCAGTTCACCCCTCAGTACAAAGGTAAGAACGGGTTGAATGATCAAGGAGACAAGTGCGGGGGCTGCTAGCTGCTGTCCCGCTCAAAAAAGAAGAGGAAATGTAGCAAAGAGCTCCTCAGCCAGGACTTACTGATGTGGTACTTGGAGTCATATTGAGTACGATGTTGGCTACCTATATTTCCAATGATTTTGGGCAGAAGGAACAGTGGGAATAAGAGCCTGGTGTTACCCTGTTGTAATGAAGTCAGTCCTGGTCTATCCCCAGGTAAGAGAAGATTCTGGTCTAGCCTTCAGAAAAGCACGGTCTGAACCGTGGAGGTCCTTTTATCAACTTTTACTTGCACATTTGTTTCCTTGGGGTTTTTTGCCCACATGAGCAAGGTTTGGCCTTAAGATGCCAGACGTCAAAGCACTGAGGATTTGACTTGCCTTTATTCAAGTGTATTGGGTTTGCAAAACTGATCTGTCAAGTTCCAAATGCCAGGATCTCTTGAGCTCTTGGGTACACAATCAGATTATAAGACTGTCCTTTCTCATTGTGCTTTGCTCCTTAGTCCTAGGTAGAAGCAAGAAGTGTATCGGCCTAGAAAAAACAAAACCCAACGTTAAAGGCTGCCCTAAAGTTGTGCAGCTCTGTAAAGATTTACTGACCTATTTCATTTGCTCTTTAACTGTTATGGAGTCATGTATGCTGCAGGAGCTGAGCAGATTGTGGGTGTTCGCATAGCTGCGTGTGTGCTGAAGGAGAGGCCTGCCCTTGGGTGGAGGAAACTCTTATTTCTCAGGGGTTTTAGCGACACAGGAAAGCTTCTCCCTTCAGACTGATCAGCATA